ATCTTCCAAGTCCTGGGTCACAGTCATATTCTGTGATCCCCAAAGAAAGTCTGTGCCTAGGGAAAACCCAAGAACCATAGCCCCATCAGGCTCAGGTGCCTGAGCAACAGGTGCTACTGGCCCTAGTGCCCCGGCGGCAGAACGTGGTGCAAGCATTTGACCTGGTTACCTAAGTCCTTTCTAGTCTTTAGGCCTCAGTTTTCCCTTCCTCAAAAATGGGAACCTTGAGTCATTTGACTCTGACTTAGGAGGGAAGAGAATTGCTAGGCACCTGTCCTGAGGTCCAGAGGGTCCTGTTCTGTTGCCAGAAACAGAGGTGCAAAACCCCGATTCATTGGGTGAGGTTCCAAATTGACTCTCCAAGCTACTTTTTCTTAAGAGTTCTATGGAAAACCAGGCACTTTGAAACTCAAGGTCCTCACTTTGAAACTCAAGATAAGGGACCCCAACAGGGATCCCCTGCCAGCTGAGGCCCCAGCTAGCCCCCTTCAAACCTGTGCCCGCTGCAGCGACGCCTTTTTCGCTGTTGCTGATGGAAAGCCACCCTCAGCTCTTCCCGCCACTCACGCCTCCAGCCGCAGGATCGGGAAGCTTCCCCAGCTGTGCAAAGGGCCAGGCCGTCAGCCTGCCGGAGAGGGGGGACATCCCGCCGGGAGAGCGGTGAACCAACTTACCGCAAAGCTTGGCGTCTCGGCCGATCTGGCGCGACAGACAGGGAGACACCACTCTCTCTGGCTCCGCAAAGCCTCCCAGACTGTCGTCTCTTCCAAATTCCACACAGAGCCAGCTCTTTCTCTTCGCGGGGAGAGTCCGCAGGGGCTGATTTGCTCCTTAGGGTCCCAAAACTGAGGGACACGCTGTGACAGCGAGTGGGGAGTCTCCAAGAGGCGTGGACAGGAGTCGGGGAGTCCCAAGCTATTGGAAGCTCCCGGAGCCCCAGGCAGAGTGAATCTGGAAACAGGGCAGGAGTCTCAGAAGGGCATCTTGGGGATGGGGCTGTCTTGGGTTATGACAAGCGAGGACTTGGGCGCAGGGACCCGCTCCGGGGCCGGGCACAGTGCCCTGCGTCCTGCGCTGCCTGAGCGGCCGCCGGTGTCCCTCTGCCCGGCGCTGCCCGCCCCAGCACAGACAATGAGGCGCTTTCAGACGCGGCTGCGGTCCCCGGCCGGCCGGCGGGCAGGAGCCAGGGCGGGGGGAAGGCAGGAAGGAGCCGGTTGGCCCCCGGCTCCCTGCCCTCCCGAGCCCGACCCAGGGGCCACGCCTCGGGGGAGGGGCGCTGGCCGGGGCGGCCCAGGGGCCCGCGAGGGAGGCACAGGTGGTCTCCGGGCTGCGGGAGGCTCCTTGTGTGGCGGAGGATGTGGAAGGCGCTGCAGTCACTTCTCTTCCTACTAACGGACCAAAGAAGTGGTCTCCCCCTCTACTCCCCAGGGAAGGGAGGCTCTGGGGGACAGAGACCCTTGTGAAGGAAATGGAATTTCGGTCTTGTCTCTCCTCGCTTTGGGGGGGGGGTACCTTGCAGACCTGTGATTTGCAATCCACACGTGGTCCCAAGCCCTTAGCCTCAGCCCTAACCAAAACCCAGCACCTTGATGGCAGCGGGGGCCCAAGCTACCTCCTGGGAAGGACCGAGAGACCAGGTGGCCTTGAGGAGCTGGACCTGCAGCTGAGTCCTCCTCCTGCCCTCTCCCTGCCCTAGCACAAACCTAGAGGGGCATATTTGATAGCAGGTCAGGGTTAATACAGGATAGGGCTCAGCAAATAAAAAACAAGTGTTTTCAGGCTCAGCGCCCCTTGCTCAGAGGTTACAGCACCTGCCACATAGACCCAGGCTGTCCGGTTTGAACCCCGCCCTGGCCTGCTAAACAACAATGACAACTGCAACAACAAAATAACTGGGCGTTGTGGTGGGCACCTGTAGTCCCAGCCACTTGGGAGGCAGAGGCAAGAGAATGGCGTAAGCCCAAGAGTTTGAGGTTGCTGTGAGTAGTCTAGGGCGACATAGTGAGACTCTGTCTCAAAAAACAAACAAACAAACATCAAAAGAAACCCAAGTGTTTTCCCTTTACAGTTAACAAGGCAGGGCCCAGGTATCTGAAAAGGATAGAGCATTCTGGCCATGCATGGTGGCTTACACCTGTAAACCTAGCACTCTGGGAGGCCAAGAAGGAGGATCCCTTGAGCTCAAGAGTTTGAGACCAGCAAGGGTGAGATCCCATTTCTACTAAAAATAGAAAAACTAACCAGGCATGGTGGTGGGCACCTGTATTCCCAGCTACTTGGGAGGCTGAGGCAAGAGGATTGCTCAAGCCCAAGAGTTTGAGGTTGCTGTGAGCAATGATGCCATGGTACTCTACCCAGGGCAACAGAGTGAGCCTCTGCCTAAATCAAACGACAAAAAAAGCCCCAAACAACAAAACCCCCCCAAACACCCCTCCCCCCAAACGGATAGAGCATTCTGATCTCTGGTAACCCATGGGGATCTGGGACGAGAGGTTGCTGCTGCTGGGTGTGGAAATTAGCCAGTCTTTCCTGCCTGTGGTCTGGCAAGTTGAGTTTAACATCTTTTAACAACAGTCATCAGCTTTGTGAACTGACAACTCCATTCTAGGCTCTATCTTAAGAAAATAAATCAACAACAAGGATTTATACACAAGGGTCATAGAAGTGTCATTCATGATACTGAAAGAATTAGAAAGTACACAAAAGATTAGAAAGATGTGTGCCAGGAGGACAGCCATGATAGCTTCTGGGTAGTGGATTTGCAGACAATTGTTTGTTGTCTTTAGTTTTATGTAATGGACTTGGGTTTTCCAAGTTTACCTGGTCAGAAAACTACAAATGTCTTTTACAAAGCAGGGAGGAAGGTGGGGGCAGGAGGGGGGTGAGGGGGAGACTATTAAAGAAAAAAGAAAAAAAAAAAGAACAATTGCTTTACGGACCGTATATAATGGGATTTACATAGGGGGGCATAGGGGCACTGCCCGATTTAAGCAGAAACTGGACTGATCATTTGGTAAAACTGGAAATCTTCCTTTCCGAAAATAGTAAGTAAATGTCTCAAACCCTTACTTAGCTTAGTTGATAACATCCTGTATACTTCTCACCATTTTTCATGTTGTAAGTATGCTGTTTGATTCAGGTCCAGAAACTACTAACACCTGGTCTGTAAATAATTTGATATTTACCAGACACACTTGTAATTTTCCAGCCTCTGTCTTCCACATGGCATGTAGCTTCCACTGAAAACTCATTTACTTGGTGTTGGACCAGGGGATGTTCGCCAAAGAGCTAACAAAAGCTCCAAGGTTTTGGGCAGAATCTTGGCAAAGCAAGGTGGCTGGTGAGTAACTCGGAGAAGTGTACGCAGCCTCGGCCCGCCCCATTCTTTCCCCCTCTAAATCTTTCCACTCTAAAAAGCAACATGCAACTTTCTGTTCTGAACATTTTAATTAGAAATTTACAAAACAACATAACGGGCCCTTTATACACATATTGCATTAAAATAATTTTGCAAAATGCAAAGCCATGTTTATACATATCTTTAGCCATCTTTCTGTATCTCATTACCTTTTGGGGATTTAAACCGGAAACCTTTTTCCATTTAAATCTCAAGGAGAGGAGAGGCTCCTATGGCTCAAGCGGCTAAGGCACCAGCCACATACACCTGAGCTGGTAGGTTCGAATCCAGCCCAGGCCTGCCAAACAACGATGATGGTTGCAACCAAAAAATAGCTGGGCAGTGTGGCAGGTGCCTGTAGTCCTAGCTACTTGGGAGGCTGAGGCAAGAGAATCACTTGGGCCAGGAGTTGGAGGTTGCTATGAGCTATAAGGCCATGGCACTGTACCCAGGGCAACAGCTTGAAGCTCTGTCTCAAAAATAAATAAATAAATAAATAATATAAATCTCAAGGAGAAAAGTTAAGCTAAGCATACGAACAGCTCTAAAGCATGTGTGAGGTGTCAGTGATAGAGAAATTTTCCACCTTGATACTTCAAAATAGCTTTGTTTCCCAGACTCTTATTTTGGTCAGCCTGAAAGAAAAGGTGCTTTGCATATATGAACTGATCTCCAAGGTAAACTGAGGCACACACTGAGAGGTGTGTGTGTGCATGGGCATGAAGCATGGACCATAGGGGCTACGACCTTCCAGCACCAACAACATGCCTGGGATCATAAAGCAGGTCCATCTGTCCTTGGGGAGACTGCACCTGTCCTCCGGAGAATGGGGAGGACACGCGGTCTTGCTTGGCCACGAGGGTTACCTGGCTGGACTGCTTGTCATTCAGCTCATGGCCAGGCTGGGCCCGAAGCCCCGGCTGCCATCCTCTCTCCTCCCTCACTGCTTCTCGTGCCCTTCCCAAAGCTGCCTGGTGGGCACCCTGATGCTTAGTCAAGGGAAATCCAAGTCTCTGGCCTTCCCGCCAGCCCTCCAAATAAACCTGGGGTTGTCAGGCACTGGGAGCCAATACCAACAACCCTTGGTCACCCTGTCCTTCACAGGCAGGGGGACGGCTGTCACAGCAGAACAGTGGCAAATGTCCAGGCTGCTGGGTGAGCGTCAGAGAGAACCTGAGGTTACAATCCTGTATCCCCCAGCCTTGCTGAGGGGGCTGCCACTGAAACGGCCCTTCCAACTGCAGCCTGCCATTCCAGGGGCACAGACAGAGGGCAGGAGGCAGGGCAAGGAGCCAGCCACAGTGGGGCAGGGAGAAAGGGCTCGGCAGCCGAGCTGATGACAGAGGACTGTCTTTTAGAGCCAGGCAGGTGGATGGTCCCCGTGTCCTTCAGGTGCTCACCTTCATGCAGGAGCTAAGTGGCCCTTGTGCCACTCCTTCCACCTCTGCAGTGAAAGGCCTCAGTTCTGGAAATCAAAGCTCTGAGTGGGACATGGAGATGCCCAGGAGTGGAGAGTGCTAGATTCATGTATTTGTCACACAGCCCCGAAAAGAGCAAACTGTAGTTCACAGCAGGGTGAAGAAATGCACAGTGTGTTTCTCAGTTCAAGGGAGAGAAAGCTTCTGCTGGACCAGAGATGGGACTTGTTCCAGGATGTCTGAACTAACTGTAATGTTCTCCTGAAATTCAGGGCTAAGGCAAAACAAACAAAAAAAGTAAACAACATGTCCCAGAACCCTCAGATTTTTCTACAAATTACTTCCCGATGGCTTTGGAGGTGCTTAGAAGATACCCGAGTTGTGTTGAGCAAAACTGGAAAGAATTGGTTTGTCTCTGAGGGAAAAACACTGAACCCCACAGGTGTCCACTGGGCTCCCAGTGGACATCAGCAAGATGGCAGTTCTCAGAAGACCACAGTGAGGTAGCCTTAGTCCTGCTAAGTCTCCAGAAACGCTCTTCTTAGGATAAGTGCTCCTTATACCCTTCTCCACGGGGCATTGCTGTTGCAGGGATTGTGGTCACCACCTGATTGTGAAAGACAATATCTTGATTCTTTGAAACACCCAGAGGAAGATGAGCAGGGTACTGGCATACTTACTCAGGATGCAGGCAAACCTTATCTCCCCGAATCCTGGTTTATAAGTACAGTTGAGTCACAGATGACATGTTGTAAGTTAAGGGAAACCAAGGTTAAGGTCAGGCAGGAAATGGCAAGAATGTTTCAAATATTGCCCTTAAGGAAAAAGAGGACAATAACAGATTATTAAGACAATAAATATGGATGATTCTGACCTAGAAGAACTGCCAAGAAATTTGAACAGGAAATGAAGTTTTTTCCTGTATAAACAGCAGACAGATATGGTCGTTTGTGTGGTGATACAACATTGTAGCAATATCCAACCTAAGGCTTCCTTGTCTGTTCCTACATGGGACATCGCAGGAATTCTTCCTTTCTTTTTGGAAATTGGGCTCCCACTGTGTCTCTGACAGAATGTAGATAAATGACTTCCCCAGGATATTGAATGACAGCATTGATCAGGACTGGAGCTTCCCGGAGGCCCTGCTAACTGGTCAGGTGGTGTTGCGATCATTCAGCATGGTTGTAACTGTAATACAGTCATTAACCATCAATCCAGGATGAAGACGGTCCTTTAATTAAATATATCGTTGGGGCTTGGTGCCTGTGGCTCAAGCGGTTAAGGCGTCAGCCACATATACCTGAGCTGGCAGGTTCGAATCCAGCCTGGGTCCTCCAAACAATGACAGCTGCAACCAAAAAATAGTGGGGTATTGTGGCAGGCACCTGTAGTTCCAGCTGCTTGGGAGGCAGAGGCAAGAGAATCGCTTGAGCCCAGGAGTTGGAGGTTGCTGTGAGCTGTGATGCCATGGCACTGTACCCAGGGCAACAGCTTGAGTCTCTGTCTCAAATAAAAATATTGTTGGGTAAAAATATCTGTTTATTCCCGCAGAACAGAAAGAAGTCATTCAAAAGTACAGAGAAATTGCATGTAAAGTTGTTATATGTTAAAATAGTTATCAAAATACTCATGGTGAAATGTGAAAATAATCGAAGGTGGGTGTGGTGACCCATACCTGTAATGCCAGCATTTTGGAAACCTAAGGTGGGAGCACTGTCAGGAGTTTGAGACCAGCCTGGGCAATACAGTGAGATGGTGTCTCTATAGAAAATAACTACTGGGTCTGGTGGCACACTCCTATAGTCCCAGCTACTGGGGAGGCTGAGGGGAAAGGATTGTTTGAGCCTAGGAGTTTATATTCGTGGGGAGTTCTGATGACACCACTGTACTCTAGTCTGGGCAACATAGCAAGACCTTTTATCAAAAAAAAAAAAAAATTATTTGGATCCCAAAGTGATTCTGTACTATGATAATAGCTATATTCTAAAATCCACGTAAGGATGAAGGGAGAAAAGAATAAGGAAGAAAATGTTCATTTTTTGGTCAGTGTTTTCAGTTTTCTTTTAAAATTTCCTCTATTATTGTAATAATGCTGCTAGTGTATTATATAAAATCAGTAAGCAACAATGGAATTGCAGCCCTTTCCTTTCTTTTTTTTTTTTTGAGACAGAGCCTCAAGCTGTCCCCCTGGGTAGAGTGCTGTGGCATCACAGCTCACAGCAACCTCTAACTCCTGGGCTCAAGTGAGTCTCCTGCCTCAGCCTCCCAAGTAGCTGGGACCACAGGCGCCTGCCACAACACCTGGCTATTTTTTGGTTGCAGCTGTCATTGTTGTTTGGCGGGCCCTGGCTGGATTTGAACCTGCCACCTTAGGTGTATGTGGCTGGTGCCTCAGCCACTTGAGCCACAGGCGCCGAGCCCCTTTCCTTTCTAAAATATCTGTATATACTATCCATGATGTCTGGTTGCCAGTAACACTTTTTTATTTTGTTTGAGCCAGAGTCTCCCTTTGTCACCTTGGGCAGAGTTCCATGGTGTCATAGCTCACAGCAAACTCAAACTCCTGGGCTCAAGTGATCCTCTTGTCTCAGCCTCCTGAGTAGCTGGGACTACAGGCACCTGCCACAACACTCGTCTGTTTTTTTTTTTTTTTTTTATTTTAAGTACAGATGGGGGTCTCTCTCTTGCTCAGGCTGGTCTCCAACTCCTGGGCTTAAGCAGTCTACCCACCTTGGCCTCCCACAGTGGCCAGTAACCCTTTAGATGCCTTCAGAGAAAAAAACAGGCGCTGAGTCAAGAGCATGCAAGGGCCTGAGAGCCTCTCTCTGTAAAGAGCAAACACTCTGCTCTGCCTTCCAGGAGGAAACTTGGGTTCTTTTGTTTTCCTACTGGCTGCTAATGCGGGGGTGAGTCACTCACATTCTCTATTTCTTTCTGGGAAGAAAACTCAATTAGTCTTATATTTTGAGAAAAGAAATGTTTCAAGGAAAGGGTGTGATAAATATAGGAATTAGTCATCACCAACCTGACGGGCCATAGGAGTGGTGGGAAGTAGGGGCAGGGGGTGTTGCAGGTCCAAAGACCAGGACAGAAAGGACAGCTCCTGGGCAGTCTGTCCGCCCTCACCACTGAGCGTTCACAAGTGCTGACATTTGGATGATGACAAAGGTTCCAGTTTGTTTTGTCCCTGTTGCCCCCACGAACCTGAAAAATCCTTGGGGAGTGGCTGACTGTCCCCCACTGTTCCTTTCCTGGTAGGCAGCAACAGTGGGGGTGAGGTCATCGTCATAGGTGAAGGGGCTGGTCCCATTGATCACAGGCACCTGATCTATGGCAGGAGGATGTGGTGTGAGCACCAGAGGGGCTTCTCCTCCCGTCTCTTTCTATCCTCCCGCCTATCCAGGCTGGTGCCATAGGCCACCCTCTTGAACTTGGGGCCTAATCCATTAGTGGTGAACTTCTCTTCAAAGATGCATAAACTCTCCTGGGACAATATCAGTCCATTTACTCTCAGTCTTTCCTTCTGTGGGGATGGAAATAAAGGGCCAATATCCACCTTAAACAGTTTTTAAAACTATTTATAAAATACCCCTTTCTGCTCTAGGGCGAAATATATTTTCCCTAATTTTCACCACACCGTTTTTCCTTTAGTTTTTCAGAAGACTGAGTTTCCAACTGCTTTGTCATTTTCTTAATCTTCTCTGAATGATCTGGACTTTATCTCTTTTAAATGTAGAAACGGAAAAAGATTAAATATAAACAGTAAGCATATAATCCCTTAAAAATGATTTCTTGCTCTGTAATACAATGTTTCAATTAATCTAATATAGACATGTTCAAATAAAAAGTACCAGTGATGAGTTTATATATTTTCTGTGTGTATACAATAAAGTGGTACATTGAGTTTATTTTTATGGCCCCCTTCACTTTACAACTTATATGGATTGTATGAGTATGATAGCTAAGTGACCAGAAACCCCAGTTTATATGTAATAGTCCTGGTTTATGGCTGTTATAACATAACATCTCTCCTTCACTTTTAAAAGTGGCTCAGCCCGGTCAGGCACCAAGCCTCATGCCTGTAATCCTAGCATTCTGGGAGGGCAAGACAGGTGGATTGCTTGAACTTAGGAGTTCAAGACCAGCCTGAGCAAGAGTGAGACCTGGTCTCTACCAAAAATAGGAAACTAGGCAGGTATTGTGGTGGGTACCCGTCTGTAGTCCTATGGAGGCTGAGGCAAAAGGATTCCAACAATTTGAAGTTGCTGTGAGCTCTCATGATGCCACAGAACTCTACCCAGGGCAACAGAGTGAGTCTATGTCTCAAAAAAAAAAAAAAAAAAAGTAGTTCAGGCCAACTTATATGGTCCTTCTTGTGATACAATCAAGGTTTGATTTAAGTGGGTAGAAGCATACATTCTGGACTAAGAAAGACTGTTGCTGGCTCTGTTACTTTGAAGCTTTGGGTCTTAGGGAATGTTAATTAATCCCTGTAAGCCTCAGTTTCTTCCTGTGCAACATGAGAGTTCAGTCTTTCAAAAACGCTCTCTGAGAGCTTACCATGTGCCAGGTACTGTTTTAGGCCCTGGGGTGACAGTACACATGAGGGTAGTGCTGCTGACGCTGAGGTCGACAGATCAAAATAATAATAAATAATAATCTTTAGTACATCAAGGAGCAATAGGAAAAGTCAGTCTGGAAGAGAAAGAGAGTGGAGGGAGGGAAAGACTTTTTAGAAAGGAGAGTCAGGGGAGGACTGTGCTCAGGGACCTGAGTGGAGTGGTTTGATAAGCTACGTGGATCCCTGGCAGAGGGAACAGCACGTGCAAAAGCCCTGAGGCAGGAGCTGCTTCAGGGGCTGGAGAAACAGCAAGAAGGCCAGTGTGGCTGGAATGGAGGCAGGGGGACAGTGGTAGGACAAGGGGCCGGAGTGCTGGGAACGGACAAATGCAGGGACATCAGAGATTGCCGTGATGATGAAATGAGAAACGTAAACCCCTTCACTCAGGGCTGGCCGTATGTTACCCATTTTGTAAAGTATAACTAGCATTATTATTGAAATATTTAAATCAACATTTTACGTGATCACTTGGAATAATCCTGTGAGTATAGAAGAAAGGGGAGGAGGAGAGGGAGAAAGAGAGAGAGAATCTAAAAGCAAGAAAGAATTACAATTTAGTTCTTTGACAGACTTTTCTCTTTTATTCTAGGCGCAAATACAGAGGAATCTCCTCCATACTTTGAAAAAATTCATTGCAAAAATCCCTCAGCTGGCCCCCACCGAGCCACCCACAGAGAAATGCCTTTTCCACCTTTCATTCCCCCCCCTTCTGAGAACTTGATAAACGGTGACACACAGAAACCAAGAAGCGGGACCCCAAGCAGCATCTTACATTGTAGCGGACGTCTAGGCCACCATAGCTGAGGGGCTGCCTCTGCTGCAGCCTCAGGTCTCCGTTCACATACACCTGGGACCTAGGAACCGGGAAGGAGCACCGGAGAAGCGCCATGCTCTGCATCACAAATGTCGACATCCTCTGAAATCAGCGGGAGGAGAGACAATTCCAACTGCCCACAGACCGCAAGGGCTCTGAGTTCTGAGACTCACTCATCCTGGCTGAAGCCTGATGGGCCCACACGTGGCTGGTTGAGCCAGGCAGGAAGGTTGCTGCCCGGAACCCTCTGAGCTTTGACAGCCCGTGTAAATTAATGTGACCCCAGCGGAAAACGTAAGTTAAATCCCAAACTACACCCCAGGAAAGAGTCACAACAATGTGGGTCTTCCCAGCAATCAGAAGGACGATTTTATTCTTTTTTTTTTTTTGAGACAGAGTCTCACTTTATCGCCCCTGGTGTAGTGCCATGGCCTCATAGCTCACAGCAACCTCAAACTCTTGGGCTAAAGCAATCCTCTTGCCTTAGTCTCCCTAGTAGCTGGGACTACAGGTGCCTGCCACAACGCCTATTTTTAGAGATGGGTCTCGCTCTGGCTCAGGCTGGTCTCAAACCTGTGAGCTCAGGCAATCCACCTGCCTCAGCCCCCACACAGTGCTAGGATTATAGGCATGAGACACTGCACCAGTTTCTATTCTATTAAAAGACAAAAGGGTGAACGGTGGCCATGGCTCATGCTTGTAATCTAAGTACTCTGGGAGGCCAAGGTAGATGGATAGCTTGAGCTCAGGGGTTCAAGACCAGAGCAAGACCTGAGCAAGAGTGAGATCTATCTCTAAAAATAGCTAGGTGTTATGGTGGGCATCTGTAGTCCCAGCTACTTGGGAGGCTGAGACAAGAGGATCACTTGAGCCTAGGAGTGAGCTATGACATTACCACACTCTACTGAGGGCAACAAAGTGAGACTCTGTCTTGAAAAATAAAATAAAGTAGCTTGGCACCCATGGCTCAAGTGGCTAAGGTGCCAGCCACATGCACCTAAGGTGGTGGGTTCGAATCCAGCCTGGCCCCACCAAAACAACAACAACAGCTGCAACCAAAAAATAGCCAGGTGTTGTGGCAGGCGCCTGTGGTCCCAGCTACTTGGGAGGCTGAGGCAAGAGACTCACTTGAGCCCAGGAGTTGGAGGTTGCTGTGAGCTGTGATGCCACAGCACTCTACCCAGGGGGGCAGCTTGAGGCTCTGTCTCAAAAAAAAAGAAAGAAAGAAAAAGAAAATAACGTAAAATAAAATAAAATACAAAAGGGGAGCTCAGCCTCTCTCAGGGACTGACTCACGTGTAATTGGTAGGAGAAGGTCAGCAGGAGCTGCACGCCAACGACGTGCTCCGAGGACTGCAGGGGCAGCTCCAGTTTAAAGTGCAGCATGTCCATTTTCCCATCCTGGTTCCTGTCTTCTTCTCTAGTCTAGGAAACCCAAAGAAAACCAGCAGCCCTGGTCCTTAATAGGTCTGGGAAGAATCTGCAACTCTGGGCGGTGCCCGTAGCTCAGTGAGTAGGGTGCCGGCCACACACACCCAGGCTGGCCGGTTTGAACCTGGCCCCGGGCCTCCTAAAACAACAATGGTAACTACAACCAAAAAATAGCCATGCGTTGTGGTGGGCGCCTGTAGTCCCAGCTACTTGGGAGGCTGAGGCAAGAGATTCGCTTGAGTCCAAGAGTTTGAGGTTGCTGTGAGCTGTGACGCCATAGCACTCTACCCAGGGCAATAGCTTGAGACTCTGTCTCAAAAAAACAAAACAAAAAGGAATCTACATCTCTTCTGTACCTACGCAATGATCCATTGTCCTGCCATACACAGACGTTAACTCCCTCACAAAGAGAAACAAACAAATGTAAGGGCATCAGTACTGGGGAAGGAGCCACCGTGTGCACGGCCCCTGAACGTCACACTTGCATCACTCAAATAATCACTGGCCCGAATGAATGGGAACTTTACGGGGCAATAATAACAGCAAACTTGTGGGGTAACATTTGTCTCTTTCTGCAGCTTCCTTTGATCTGATTTATTTAGTAACAATGTTTTCTTTTTTCTCTTTGTTATAAACATGCCTGGATTTGTATGGAAGATTTTCATACCGCATCACAATCGTCTTTTGCTCCTTTACAAAGAAACATTTTAAAATAGGAAAATCATCTAATTCTAAGCACCAGGCATCCCCCAAACACACTCAGCAGAAAATCACCAGGCTCTATTTATACATTCTTAAATCACAAGTGTCTTTGCTTCAGAGTCTTGAGGGCGGACCTCATCCATCATTCATGGCAGGACTTGAAAGCCCAAGGAAGAAGGGAGCTAAGTAAAAACGGGAAAGCAGGAAAACCACAGATATTTGATAAATTATGAACATGAAAGGAAGGAAACCAGACGGAGATTGCAGGAGGGACAGTGACAAATTACAGCTTAGGCAGAGTAGGTACACAGCGTGTGTAGGCCTAACAGTGACTCGTAGGAAAGGACGGCCACTGAAAGCTGATCGCTGCTGACAAGTCTCCTCCACGCAGCTCTGGCTCTTGTTCTACCACTGATCCTTCCCACTGTAGGTTCCTATAGGATTCGACTATGGTGCAGAGGTATTCCCACGTGCATCCCCCGCTCACTGATTCATTTTGGTCTCCACCGTTACCATTATGGGAGGAAGAGATTCTTTTGTTCTATTTCAGGCTAACCAGATCACTGGGGATGAAGACATCTCGGTTTTCAGAACCTTTCAATCATTTCTTTCCTCCTAGACAATAATGTCCTTATCCTGGGCCTTGTTGTAGAGAAGCCTACCCTCCTCCTTCTCGTGTGGGACACTATTCTCTCTGTCCTGTTCCATGAGCTTCCCAGGTGGAGGGGAGCGGTATCTGCTACCAAGGCTGGGGATCGAGTTTCTCGGGCAATTATGTTCTAGAAATGATGACTAGGATGTAAGAGAGGCTGCTTTGTCTTCCTGCGAATTTTCTTCAGGTGGTATCTGGGAGGACGTGGAGAACAATGTGTAGTTACTTCTCTGTAATTGATCCATGTCTTCTGGATCTTTGGGGTTAGACAGGAAGCCAAGATCACATTTCTCAACTACCGTCTTTCGAGAAGATATGGGCCCAGAGAGAATTTCCGGAAAAATCCAGAGACTAGCACAGGGTGAGAGAGAAAAACTCACTTCATTTCATATTTACAACGAATGTAGGCAGAACTAGTGTTATCTCCATTGCATACGTGAGAAATTCGAGGTGCCGGGAGGTTAGGATACTTATCAGAAGTACAGCTACTCAGGTCTTTGACTTCAAATCAGGTCTTCTTTCCGGGACTAAAGGGTCCCAGGCTTTAAAAAATAATTCAAATTTAAAAATAATTCAAAGATGTCGGATAGGAGAAATCTTGTAAAGGCAACATTGAAGATGTAAGTCTCTATGTTTGCTTGCGTGCACACTTCTACTTCAAGTTCACAGAGAAGAGAGATCTGGCAGAGTATTGTAAACAGTGTCAACTTGTTAAATTGGCTCATTAATCTGTCAAGTACTTTTTGAGACCCTCCTATGTGCCAGGCATTATTTCAGGTGCCAGGAATATAAAAGTAAACAAAATCCCTGTCCTAATGGAACTCATATTCACCGCAGAGAAGGTAAAAAACAAATCAATTAATGAATAAACAGGGTGGCATCTGTGGCTCAGTGAGTAGGGGGCTGGCCCCATATACCGAGGGTGGGGGGTTCAAACCCGGCCCCAGACAAACTGCAACAAAAAAATAGCCGGGTGTTGTGGCGGGCACCTGTAGTCCCAGCTACTTGGGAGGCTGAGGTAAGAGAATCTCCTAAACCCAGGAGTTGGAGGTTGCTGTGAGCTATAACACCACGGCACTCTACCAAGGGCAATAAAGTGAGACTCTGTCACTAAAACAAACAAACAAACAAACAACCCCCCCCAAACAAATAAACAAGCACAATATCAAATAGTGCTAAGTGCCATAAAGCAGACTAAACTGGAAAATCAGGCAGACTAAAACTAGAGAAAGATGAAAGTAGAATTTAATTTAAAAAATTTTTTTTTTAAATTTTTTGAGACGGAGTCTCACTCACTCTGTTGCCCCAGGCCAGAGTGCCATGGCGTCATAGCTCACAACAACCTCAAACTCTTGGGCTCAAGGGATCTTCTTGCCTGAGCCTCTCAAGCAGCTGAGATCGTAAGTGCCCACCACACCACCTGGCTAGTTTCTTATTTTAATGGAGCTAGGATTTCACATTGCTCAGGCTTGTCTTGCATTCCTGAGCTTAAGCAATCCTCCTGCCTCGGCCTCCCAGAATGCTAGGATTACAGGCAAGAGCCACCGTGCCTAGCCAATAAAAGTAGAATTTAAAAGACATTTTTACAGAAAATATTCAGGACAATCTGACCTTTTTCCCCCCATGGTCCATGTGATGTGAATAAAGTACAATTTCTTTAGCAAACTCAGCAAGAATTGTTAAAGGGCAAAAGTGTGCACTGAATTTAAAAGAACAAAAAGGAAAATGAAAACACAAAATTCTAAAAAGTAAACAAAGGTTCTGCATTAGCATAGTGGTTTTAAAACATACATCCACAAGAAGCCTTAAAATCCTACGGAAAACAATCTTTGCTTCTCAGAGATGCATATCTAAATTCAAATTCAATTGCTTACAAATATCTTCTAGGGAGTAGGCCAAAAAGAAAAACATCTCACTTTTTAAAAAGTTCCTCTTCCAGGCTCGGCACCTGTAGCTGAAGTGCTAAGATGCCAGCCACATACGCCAGCTCGGGTTTGAATCCAGCCTGGGCCTGCCAAACAACAATGACAACTACAACCAAAAAATAGCCGAGCGTTATGGTGGGCGCCTGTAGTCCCAGCTAGTCAGGAGGCTGAGCAAGAGAATCGCTTAAGCCCAGGAGTTGTAGTTTGCCGTGAGCTGTGATGCCACCGTACTCTACCCAGGGCGAAAGCTTGAGGCTCTGTCTCAAAAAAAAAAAAAGAGTTCCTCTTCCTTAAACAATTTTCTCCTAGAGCTGAATTTGAAGAAGGAGGAGTCTACAACCCAAGGACATCTGTATTCCTCATCCTTTTCACCTGAAGTGGTGGTCAATGTCCTCCCCCTACATAGCACACTGGGGTGTCCACCCTGGAGCGGCTGTACTGAGCCACATAGGAGCTTATGGCCAGAATCCCATCTACACCACGGATCAGGTCACGGGCAGAGAGCCTTGTGCTTTTGGACGTGGAGCCTGCCATTGAGAGGATAAGCACACTGCCAATTGATCCCTGAGCCCTTTCTGTCACACATGGTTCCAGAGCTTTTGGTCCAAACTTCTTGCCATTTTAAGGTCTAGGGGAGCAGCTCCTGGACTTCAGCCCACGAGCATATTCACCCACTTTAGTGCCTCAATGTCTTTGGATTACAAATGTGCTGTCAAAATTAATCAAACCCTTCCGTTTGTCATTGGAAATGCTGCAGTCAGTGGTGTTGACAGCGATGGACAGGTGGATGGTCCGGTTGGGCAGCGGGGGCCGGCTGGCCTGTTTCTCTGCTTCATGGTTTCTCTGCACCAGGCTCTTGAAGGCCATCAGCTGGAGAGCAAGTCCTTGAAGTTCAGCCTTTTTCTCTTGTATTCCTTTACATCTTCTCTTTTTCTCCAACTCTAGATTCCGACCTTCCTGAACCAAACTAGTGGGCAGACCAGTCTATTTGATTTTCTTCTGCTTGGAGATGATTTTCACGGTCATTAACACCGTTGAGGCATCGTATGCCTCAGTAACACTGACTTGCCGTCGTATGTTCTTCTGGCCCCAAACAGATTCATTTGGTAAAACACGGTCAAGGCAGTTCTGAACTCTGCCTACCAGCTCATCTGCCATCTGGTTATAGGAAGTGGTTCTTGTCCTCTGTACCTTCTCAGGGACCTTCATGGAGAGATGCTGTGGGCCCTTGCTGTTCTTTCCTTTCCTGTTTTTTTTTTTTTTCCTGGGAGACCAAGGTGCAGAGTCAAAGGCTCATTCTAAGAGACAAAGTGAGGCTTTGTGAGTGGCAAGTTTACTATGGAAGGGTGAACAGCCACTAAGGACGCATCTTTTCCAGGACTAAGATTCTAGTACCATGAGTTCCCCATTGGCTTCAGTTAAAATGGCATTTTTTCCATGTTGCCAGATTTGGGAAACAGATGCTGTAAGTGTTCACCCTCCAGAGAAGAAAAATCATTTTTCTCGGGCTGACCTTGACTTCCTGGAGACTTGACTGAAGCAAGGTGATGAGGCATGGGACTGTCAGGGGAAGAATGAGCCAGGCCAGCCAAGTGCACTGGGTGTCCAAGGGGCCAGCATATTGGGCAGAGTTGGGGAGAGGAGAGAAGGTCCCAGAGAGCCACAGAGAGGAGTGATGACGCAAACGCCGTGTGTCCCACAAAGGATGGGCACCA